GTTTTAAAAAGTAAAAAATATATTTCTTATTACTATTATTCAATAAATAATTACCGGTTCGAAGCCAAAATTTGTCATCCAAGTCTGCATGAAATATCCGATCATGCAGAGTTGGGTTTGTTATTAGTTGGTCGTGGAGATTCTCCTTAGCTTCCAACCTCTTGAGATTTTCGTACCCATATTTTAATGAGTACCATTTCCTACGACATTGAGAGGGAGAAGCAGCGAACCCTCTATTAAGAAACAATTGGTTGGATATGGTTCTCCATATCCTTTCATGGCAATTGTTAAGAACGAACTCAAAATCATCATGATTCCCGCGTTGAAGTTGAATTAATTCTCTTGCAGTGTCAATGGTCCATTCGAATGAAGCAACAACAGGAGCAGCTAAAGCCATTACAATAGAAATAAAAAAAGGAGGAAGACAAAATAAACGTGATCGAGAAATAAAAAAAAAAAAGAAATAAACGGAAATCAAAAAATAAAAAGAGAGGAGGAGAAAACGAAATAAACAGGATCGAGGAATAAAAAAAGAAAAGAAAAAAACGAAATAAACGGGATCGAGAAATAAAAAAAAAGAAAAGAACGAAATAAACGAAATCGAGAAATAAAAGAAAAAAAAGAGGAGAACAGAATAGACGGGATCGAGAAATAAAAAAAAAGAAAAGAATGAAATAAACGAGATCGAGAAATAAAAAAAAAAGAACGAAATAAACAAGATCGAGAAATAAAAAAAAAGAGTAGAATGGAATAGATAGGATTGAGAAATAAAAAAAAAAGAGGAGAACAGAATAGACGGTATCACTGGGAAATAATCTTCTCTAATTACTTCACATAATTTATCTAAGTTCTTTTACTGCGGTAAGTAACTTCCTTATCATCAGACTTTATAACCTTAGGGAATTTTACGTCCTACAGGTATCCGGAATGCCTTGGAATTACTTCACTTAGTTTACAAACTTAAAGGTTTAGGGACTTAGGAAATTTAGAGAATTTATATATTCTAAGTAATGAACTCAATTGCAAATTAGTGTAGTGGTTCACGATCAAATTCTAGATGATGGACACGTAGAAGAGGAAAAGTATTTTTGTTTTGAAAGTTGATTCTTTTATTACTTGAATTTGTAATAAAACTAATAAAACTGAAACTCGCAATAGAGTTATTTTATAACATGAGCAAAAAGCTATTCTATTTATACAAAATTAATTTGCTACGGTTAACTAATTGTTACGCTATAAACTAACTAAATTTGTTACTACAAGTGTAAATGTAATAATGATAATAATTATAATGATAATAACAAGTATAATAAAAATAATAAAAATAAAAAGAATAATGATAATAATGAAAATACAGGGAATTAGGAAAATCTAACGAATTGGGATAATCTGATGAATCCAGTAAATCCTAAGAATCCTACGAATTCCCAGAATCCTGTGGATCCTAAGAATCATCAAAATCTGGAATTATGCAGATCTTCTAATTTATAATCAACATAAAATTAATTCCAGTAACTTTTGTAAATCATTTAATAATTCTTTGTAGATCAACTTTTTAATAGTAATTTTAGCCGGTAACAATGTTTATATAAATAGTTTATTACTTATTTATTTATATAATAAAATTAAAAAACAAAACATATTTTAATATTCTTCTCTAATGTTTAAATTATCCTTCAATTTATTTGGTCCTTCATTTTTAAACTTTTGGAAGAATAAAATATCGCTTTAACATTTAAAAAGCAGATACGCATTCTGATGATCTTCATAATAACAAAGTTGATTAACTTGCTAAATCTTCTCTAACTCATTCTCCTCTACCTATTAATTTTGCTCAAATACCACATCTCTTATACATTCCAATATTCAATAATATGTTTATTCTTACTACATTACGTTCCTTTCTTAAAAATTTCACTAATATCAAACATTTTATTGATTTCTATTTTTTAAAAAGAAACCTTAAATATAGTTTTCTATACATAAACTGATCTCTGATTTTTAAATACATCAAATTCAGTACTTCTACTAAAATTTCCTTTAAAGAATTCCAAGCGTACTGTAAAAGGTTTAAATTTCTTTTTGAACAAATTTACACAATTGAATTTATGAAAATCACACAACCTAAACTTTATAATTCTTTATGAAAGTGCTGCTATTGTATAACTAAAAATGAAAATTTCAATCACATTTGGATTTGTGTTAAAGTCAAAAAAGAAATGAAAACATAATCACTGATGCTTTACAAATACTTAAACAACAATTACTTATTCACACTTCTTAATCAGTTTACTCTTCAGAACTTTCTTTACTCCTCTTCCCTTATATTCATACTAGTCTTTCAGAGTAGACTCATACAATTTTACATTTATAGATTTCATCAAATGCATTGTCCTTATTGCTCTTTCCAAATTGCTTGACTCCTTCACTAATTCTCCTTCACTTACGTTTAAAATTCTTTCTCCTTATTATGATCACATTTTTTATTAAACTTATAATATTATATGAAAATCCAGATACAAAGCTACTATAGAAAAGGAATAATTTTTTAATATTTCTAAATATAATAACTATTTTACCATCAACAGTTTCTTTAATTCTTTCTCTTCCAATCATGTTTTAAAATATGATCATACATCCTTAATAGCTAAATTTTACATTTATAGACAAAAATAATTCCTATTTCTAATACAGTAATAACTATTTATTAAATGTTTATCTCTTTTTTAGTTGAATAGCAATGGTAATTCTACTAGTAATTATTATCAGAGCTTAACAGGACAACCAATTACAATTATACCTCTCTATAGCGAATTTTTATATAACAAATTTTTTGGACAACTATATTAAATTTACCCTCGTTATAACGAACTAGCCAATCAAATTCTTTAAAAAATTCACTATAGCTCTATAGCGAAGTTGAAGTTCAGGACATAAAATTCGTTATATCAAGGGTTGACTGTATTTATTTTAATAAACTGTTACTGAAGAAGGCTTTTAAATAAAAATAAACCTATTATATTGAATAAGAATAAATACTAACAAATAAAAATAATCATAAGATATAGTAATATCATTTTATGCAAAATTTTAACATATTTGTAACTTATCTCTCTAATATTTAAATTACTTTGCAAGGTATTTAAAATAAATCTGAATTGTTGAAATATGTATTTAATTTTCATCAATAAATTTTTTTCAACATTATTAAATTAAAATAATAATAATATCACATATTTAAATTTTATATAACATTTTGAAAATAAGCTAGTAAAAATATTTATTACTATGTTAAATAATTAGGTAATTCAAAATTATACAAAACTATGATATCCAAATTTGAATTTTTCCATTTGATTTTAATTATTAACATCATATTATTTTAAAAATCATTTTTTATAAAAAAAATACAAGTAATCAACATAATGGTTGATATATAGAAAGCTCATTATGCTTATTATAGATATAATTGATGATACTGAATACTTACTTAACTTTTTTAATTTTAATTGAAAAAATTGAAATATTATAAAAATTTTTGTTTAATAGATGCAAGTTTTAAAAGAATGATATTAAAAAATTTTCTTTTATTTTAATTGATAAAAATTCAATATAAAACAAATAATATAAGCTGAAATATCATCTATAATTATGTATTTGGTATATAAAGAGCTATTAAACAATGATTATCATTTAATAAAATAGGTATATATTATTCTTATAATCCAAAAATTGTATATAAAGAATATTCAACAATAGATTCTAATTAGAGAATTATAAATAATACAAATTTAACAATATTTTGTTCTTTAAATTTACGAGATACTGTAATTAAACTTATAACAAATCATTCAAGATCTTATATGGGTTAGTACGTATAAAAATATGCTGCAAAACTATATAAATCATATGATTCAAATCTGATTTTCATATGTTTTGATAATATTGATAGAATAGAAGACGATGTTGTTTTTTATTTTATAAAAAAAGATAGTTAGTAAAATGAAATATAAATCAGCTAATAAATAACAGGCATTCTAATCACATGTATCATACATTGAATAACCAAAAATATCAGTATCATAATAAAGTTATTTGATTTTAAATTACTACTATTTTATTAAAAATCATTTTATAAAAAAGCTAAATATAACTTTATTCTGCTTTAATTGTTTTATAATTCTATGATTAATTTTTGTGTTTATCATTTTTTTTTAAGTGTAAAATAATAATTTGAAATTTATCAAATTTATTTGTTAAGACTAAATTATATGCACTATAATAATAATTTTTTGATTATGATTAATTAATAATAGAATTTATTAATATAAAATTTATTTAATGATTTTAAATTTTTAGCTTTTTAATAATAATAAATTTTTATTATATAATTTAAAATAAAAATTCTTATTTTTTATTAAAAAAAAATTTCTAAAAAATTTATTTTTATAATAATTAATATTTTAATATAAAAATTTTCAAATTAAAATAATTCAAATGATAAATAGTCACATTTATATTCTCTTATGCTAAAATGTATTATATATTCAATTTATTATAATATTATGAATTAAAAAAATTTCCTTAATAATTATATTATAAATAAATTTATGGAATTTATCATGCTCTTTATGTTTCATTATACTATGTAAAAAGTTATTTGTCCTTCCGTTTCTTATGTTTCATATAATGTAGAATATCATAATAATATATATAAAAAAACAATAATAAGATAAGTAATATATTTTTAGAAAATCAAAAACATTTAATCCATATCACAACAAACTTACATATTTTTCTACCCAAAAAGAATATTTTTGATAATATGTAAAGCCTGACTTTGAGAATACAGAGAGATATAATAGTCTTTGCTAATCTGAATAATTCCAAATTGCATATTAAGTATCTGCGAAATCATTTAAAGATAAATAGAGTAAATTGATAATATCAATCAAATTGCCATAATAATAAAAAGTAATATAACCTACAAAATTTATTCTTCCATCATTTCATTATCGTTTTCTGTATCATCTTCGTCTTCTTGATCATTTGTATCAAGTATAATTATTTTTTTTTTATCTTCACTTAAGATACAAGCTAATCCTCTAGCACCATTGGTTGTTAGTTTTAATGGTTTGAACTGTGAAATAACACGATATTGTTGTACTAAAAGAGGTGTGAACTTTTCCAAATTCTTTTTGGGGAACAAAAATTCAATAAATCAGAGATATCCAAGAATAAACAATCCTTAAATTATTGTAGATATATTTTATAAGTATACCTTTTGGTTCAATACTTGATCAACAACATTGATTCTGTTTGTATTTTCTATCGCTTGTATTGTGCGTGGTTCGATAACTTGATCAAAATTTAGTTCTGTGTAATTCACTTCTACTATACAATTTACTTCATTTTCTATTCCCATAAATGAAATAAAGTCAGTTATTTTATATGAAATTTTATTATTTAATTAATATAGAAATTAACCTGATTCATCAAGTCCAGTTATGATTAAATGCATTTTCTCATCGTCGAATAATTGCATATCTGTTATTATAAGATACTTATTTAGTTGCTCCTTATTTGAGAGTTCGATAACGGAAATTTCACTGGTACGTTTATCAAGGGATTTTTCAGGATTAAATTCCAGATTTGGTGTGCTTTCAGATATTAATGATGATCGGAGAACCCACACTATAAAAATTCAAAATAATTATGTTATTTCAATGAACAACTAAAGAACGTAAAACGAGAAAGATTTAAAATTATACAGGATGGTGGTGAATATTGAACTGATCCGGATAAGCAAAAAGCGATATATAAAAACGTTTGATATTCCTAATGAATTAATAAAAAGATTAAAAAACTATTTATGAATTTGGTATAACAAATATCTCCTCACCTTAATTACGATTCGTGTGTCTAATAATAATAATTGAGTTCCTTCCAAACTCTTGTTATTCATGAAGTCATAATTTATAATATTATCAATTATGTACAAAAATTCTTCTGCCTTAACTGAATTAACAACATTATATGCTGTTGAGGTGGACATTTTATTACATCGTAATATTAACATGTCAACAAATGATTGAAATGTTGGAGGAAACCAATCTTCTTTTTGACAAGAAAAAAAGTCATAAGGATATGCGGGTGCGGCTGCCTTAAAAGAACTTTCTATATACGACGCTGAACTTTTAGGTTCAAATGAAAGAACTAGTGGATCACATCCTTCATAAAGATCCATCAAAGCAGCATTTGGGAATTTAACATCAGGCAAAGAAATCTTTACCGTTTCCCCTGATTCCGTGAAATAACTATCCAAAAAATCCATATGCAAAGAATTTTTTATATAAGAGGCAATCTTACTAATGTTAGTAAGTGGTGGTGTTTCTTGAGTTTGATTATGATCTATTGAACCTATATTATCGAATTCTAAATAATATAAATAAATAAATTATCATTTCATTTTTCTACTATAGAATAAAATGAACTTAGTTCCGTACCATATTGAAGCCATTGCTGAAATTCCATAAAACTTGTGTATTTTTCATCAATTATATTTAATACATCTTCAAGACGGTTAACAAGACATCCAGTAGAAATTATAATGGAATGAACATATGACTCAGACAATCCAAGACCCTTGAATTTTTGCTGCCTTAATTAATAAAACGTTATTTGAAAGTAATGATAAATAAACGGATCACAATCTCAAATAAGTCAAAACAAATAGTGCAAGGAGAATACCATTTACAATATCCAATCAGTGTGCTCAATTGTAAAAGCAACCTTTCGCAACCTGGCCTAATATAATGGTGTATATATTCACGAATTTGTTCAAAAGACTTTTGGCCTTTGCTTTCCCAATCCTTCAACCCCTATAAAGATGAAAATCAATCAATATTAAATAAAAATCTCAACAAAATAATTTCAAAAAATTACCCTTTTTGTAAGATGCATTTCCAGATATTTATGTAGCAAAGAACTCGGTTTTCCAGTGGCTAGAAAATGTACAAACTCTGCAGACAATTTCGAGTTGGCTTATGAGTACCATTTGTACCATTTAAACATATGATATTAGGTTAGCAATTGAATTTGATTAATAATATATATTATTTAATTAATAATTTCATATACCATTACTTTCTGATAGTACTAATTGAAATTTATCAATAAATATCTTTGCGTTTGCTTTCATACTTTCGTGTTCTGCCTTGATCTGTTTAATGCCTTCAAATATATACTCCGCCAAGTATTTGATAATAGTATATGTTTGAGATAAAATTCTTATTTCATTTTTATGCGTATAAAGCAATCCCGTATTAAGAGTAACTTCAACTAATCGTTCATTTTCTGAAGTTTTGGTTACCACGGCTGTATAGCTCGCGAGAACCAACAATGTGATGTGAGAGAGATCCGGTGTTACTGAAGCTTTTAAAATCTTCCCGCTCTAATTAAAGGTTCCATTTAATGATCTCGTTTAATTGATTATATCGATTGATTGTAATGATAATATTAAAGAAAAACTACAAGCCTGCGACTTTATATAATTAGATATAGAGAGAGGTAGCAATTGATATATGCCATAAACGCTAATTTAAAAAGTTTAAAGAATAAATTCCTAATTTCTAACAATAAAAATTAATGAATGAAAGAATGGAACCTTAGGTGTAAATTCCCGGACGTATCACCCGCTATAAGTAAATCAATAAGATTAGATTTTTCATTTTCAATCTCATCCTCATGAGATTCGTTAATGTTTCCCAACAGATTACTATAAATTTTAAAAAAGAGTTATAATAATTCACTAGATAATTCCAAAGCTAAAATTTAAAAAAAAACGTCAAACATACCTACCTTATTGGTTTTGCACGCGGAATTGCGCTAAGTTTAGGTAAATATCCCTGTACAGGATGTGTACTAATATAATTGATCTATGATAACCAATTCATTAAGTCATTATCAATAATTAAGGATAAAGAAAATTCAAATTTCTGAATTTAACAACGACCTGTTGTTCTTTCACGATTTCGCTATCGTTTTCATTCTCCTGAACCCAAATCAGAAAGTTTATTGCAGATGGTTTTATTGATTCAAATGATTGTTGCGGATCAATAGGTTGAGGAAACAATTCATGTATCATTTCCAGTTTATCAACGTTGTATAGTCTAATAGCTCCGCTTGAATATCCTAATGCAATTACTTTTCCTGATATTGTTCAGATTTTTATTTCAATATTCAATAAATTTTAGAATACATAATTAATGCTAGATTGTTATCTATCTTTTTTTTAAACATTAATTTATTAAAACCTTTTAAAATGCTACAAGCTAAAAGCCATATATTATTCTAGATTATTACCGTCGGGTCTCCATGCTAATGCCTCTACTTTGTCATTGCCATGCTTTCCAGCTGGCAAAGTCCAAATTTTTTCTAAGGCATTAAACCACCTAGCTACCCAAACGGAATCTGTTTCAGTACAAACTGCAAGCAAATCCATTGTTGGGCACATTGATATTAATTTTATGGGTTCATTAACACCATGTTGGTTCATTAATCGAAAAGCCATGTGAGAATCAATTTCATGTTGAAATATCATTTTTTTTCTTTTGCAAAACTTACGCGTTCGTTGAGAAAGTCTAAATTATTATCATTGTTACACGATCATTAATTAAGTGGCTTAGCTACTATGTAAAAAAAAAAT